CCGATGCAGACCATCCTAGTCACACTCCCCTGTCAGCATTCACACACCCCAGCAAGAACAGTCCCAGTTCGTCACAACGGGGAACGGGCCACGGGGGTGCCTTGGGACCTGTCTCCTGGCCTGTCGTGTTTTGTCCTCGTCGTTACCCCGCCCTGCAGGAAATCCTGCTGCCGCAGCGCCGGGCTAGGTCTGCACCCCAAAGACCGGTACAGTCTAAGGCTGCATTGCCAGTGACCGCTGTTACCAGCTTTGCCCATTACTTTGGGACAGGCTCCTTTATTCGGGTGACTCTTCTGGGGGCCGGGGGGATGTCTGTACTTCTATCCATGTACTGCCTGTGTCACTCGTGTGTCATACGGCGCTCTGCTCCTCCTGCTGCACGTCCCCTCCCAATGGAGCGATCCTGCAGGACCTAGGCTCCCCCGGGCTGGGTTCCTCCAGCCCCAGAATCAGACGAACACACACACGTTAACAGCACTCAGCAGACTGGGTCGAGCAGCACTTCCAAGCTGCCACCGTCATATGTCCCAGGTTCAGCGCGTCCCTGTCCCCACTGTCACGTTACACTTGTTCGGGCAGTAACCCACATGATGAGCAAACCCAACGGGATTTTGGGGTGCTGCAGGGAGCTTTAGCTTAGGTACGAGGAGCGTCGCTGCAGAGCGAATGAGGAAACCAAAAAACACCCACAAGGAGGATGTGGGGGAGAGAGACAGAGAGAGAGAGAAGCAACCAGCTTAACCATGAAAGTTATTTATTGCCAGGTAATAACCACAGGGGAGTCAAACAAAACAGCGATAATATTAAATCTAACAAACTGAATTGTAAAAGTCCGGTTTAGAGGCTATAACTGATCCCACAAGTCAAGGTCAGAAGGCTACACTGAGAGAGAGAGAGCTGGGTTCTCACCACTGCATGAAGCTTGAATTGATCGGGGGTCCTGGGTGGTGGGGGTAGCTGAGGGTCCGGAGTGCTGGAGACAGGCAGAGCCCCCAGCACGATCAGTCAGGAGAAGATGACGTCCCAATGGAACGGATGCAGATTTTGGATCCAGGTATCAGAACACTGACTTGAGCGTGGGTCGGGGTTTCTGTAGAGAAACAACAATGGTTCAAGCGAGAACACAAGGGAGATACCAAAGTTGTTTTGTTCAGGCTAGACATGGGAGCTGATCATTCCTGGCTTTGGGTGGTGTCCCTTGGAGGGAGCTCACAATGCAATTAGGCGGCTTCAGTATTTTGGATATCAATAAAGGATTTATGACTAGAATTGGTCTGCTAACTGCTGAACTGGGTGTGTGCAGTGCAGGTGTGGGTTCATTGACATCTGGAGCAGAGATCCCCCATGATGCACTGCTTCCCTGCTTTTCTGGTCCCAGAGTTCCATGCGGTTCTTGCCTTGGAATCTCTGGTCTCCGTTCTGTACGCTAATGGAGATGCCTCATTGTCCTATCTTTGATGCAAATGAGCCTAGGGGAATTTCCTTAATCCTGTCACCCTTATCCCAGGGGCTTAGGTGTCTCCCATGGCCTTGTCTTTGCTTTTTGTAAGTCTTTCTTCTGAGGCAGATTTGGTTCAAGCAGAGGCTGGAGGGCGGGGGAAGGTCTTTCGTGAGTCAGCCAGGCTGGGTGCTGCGCCCTGGTTCCCCAAGAACACAGAGCTGCTAGGTGTAACAGCCTCCAGCCCAAGGCTTCCCCACCAGCGGAAGGGCTGCTAGCGAACCGCAGGGTTAGGTGACAAAGTATCACTTGGGTCTCCTTTCTCCGCCACGTGCTGACATGCTCACAGAATTCTAGCAGATCGGAGAGGCGCGACTTTCCCTTGCAGAGCCCGGGCAGGCTTGTCCCAGGCGTTTCGTGATCGCTCTGAGACTGGAACATGGGGCCCACATTTTAAAAAGGAAGTTGAAAACTTGGCGAGGGTGCAGGAGAGCGCTACAGCGATAACTCGAGGCACTGAAAGACGGGCATCGCTCAATACTGTAGAGAGGAATCAACACAGGGAGAAGCTACCAGGCACTACGCGGAATCTCTGACAGAACAAGAGACCGGGGCTGGAAGTTAAAAACGTGTCATCTCTCTAACAGGCAGGGCAGCTAAGCACTGCAACAAACCGCCACCACGTGGTGGATTCTCCATCTCTGCCGTCTTCACATAAACACGGGATGCTTCTCTGAAGGAGCTGCCTCAGCCAGACACAAGCAGCTGGGCTTGGAACAGGCGGAGCTGGGGCAGGAGGTCAGGCTAATGGTCCCTTCTAGCCTTAAAGATCTAGGGGTGAACTCCTAGTTCCAGGGAAGCCAGCAGGAACTTTGCCATTGGCTTCCATGGGGCCAAAGATTTCACCTAATGGAGCATTTCAGCTAGTTTCCTGAGCCCTGCGATGAGACTGGCTGTGACTTCCCGGATCACGGGCAGCACCTTTTTTACGGCTGGTGCAATCAGAAGTCCCAGGTACCACGCCCTCTGGTGCAGATCACATAGTATGACTGGCAGCTTATCCCACCTGGTGCTGGGGACTGTCAGTGCCTTGGCAGCTTGTTCCCAGCACCCCCTCTCCGTCACCTCAATGCCTCCTCCCTTCTCTGCAGTGCCGGAAAAGAGCGAGTCTGGGATCGGTCCCCCAACCCTGCCGCGGTGAAGGCTGAGGCAAAGAAGTGACCCGGTGTGCAGCCTCCTTTTCCTTGTTCGTTGCTCCCAGAGCCCAGCCCAGCCCAGGTGCTGGACATGGCATCTGGCCAGGGCACAAGACAGTGGGGTTACCCGGTAACATTCGCCTGGTGTTGTCTGGACCGGTGATCTGCTAGGTCACTCCAACCCTTGACTCTGGGAGCCAGCCTTCCCCTGCTGTGCTGCGAGAACCCCCATTTCACGCACAGCCTCTAGCATGTAGGTTGCTCCCAGCTGTCAGTGAGCACTTTTGGCAAGTCGCTCCTTGGATTGTGCAAGCTAATGACACTAGGCAATATCTCCAGTCCCAGACACAACCCGAGGAACCTCCGTCTGGCAGTGTCCAGTTATGCCCGCTGGACGCTGCAAGCTTATATGAGTTTGTCAATTTAACAAAGAAATTGATCTGTCCCAGGCTTGTTATCCCAAGGGGAATCTCTGACACGCTTCAAACCAAACGCACTGCTCCAGGTAGAACAAACAGATTTATTAACTATAAAGATAAATTTTAAGTGATTATAAGTCAAAAGATACAAAAAAAAGATACAAAAGGAGCGCTTAAACATGATAAAGTCATTGTGGAGAAACTAAACGGATTCTTTGCTTCATTTTAGTTGCCCTTCTCTGAACCTTTTCTAATGCCAGTATATCTTTTTTGAGATGAGATGAGACCACATCTATACGCAGTATTCAAGATGTGGGCATACCATGGATTTATATAAGGGCAATAAGATATTCTCCATCTTATTCTCTATCCCTTTTTTAATGATTCCTAACATCCTGTTTGCTTTTTTGACTGCCACTGCACATTGCGTGGACATCTTCAGAGAACTATCCACGATGACTCCAAGATCTCTTTCCTGATTTGTTGTAGCTAAATTAGCCCCCATCACATTGTATGTATAGTTGGGGTTATTTTTTCCAATGTGCATTACTTTACATTTATCCACATTAAATTTCATTTGCCATTTTGTTGCCCAATAACTTAGTTTTGTGAGATCTTTTTGAAGTTCTTTACAGTCTTCTTAACTATCTTGAGCAGTTTGGTATCATCTGCAAACTTTGCAACCTCACTTTTTACCCCTTTCTCCAGATCATTTATGAAAAAGTTGAATAGGATTGGTCCTAGTACTGACCCTTGGGGAACACCATTAGTTACCCCTCTCCATTCTGAACATTTACCATTTATTTATCTGACTGACCAAAGGAAGAGGGGTGACTTATTCAAGAGTCCAATAGATCCTTTGTTGCTGCCTAGGTCAGCATCATTTGTTCCTGTGAGGCTGGGTTGGGTTTGTCCCATACATGCCCTGATGAGGTGTGAGCTGCCCTCTGTTCCTGGAGAGTTTTGCCTGGGCTTGTTTAAAGCCATGAGGACATGTTTTCAGCCTCATAACTATATACATGAAATTACAACCTATAACATCACTATAACAACAATGCTCAGTGCATCATAAGCCTTCCAAAGACACCCGACACGACAAACTTTGCATTGGATACCACGCAATCATTTTACAAGGATGAACATGGGAGTGCTGGGTGTTCCCCCGAGGTACAGAGCGTCACATACCCCTCCATCCTGCACGGAGAACAATGGGATTTGCAACGAGCGCTAGGGAGCCGGGGCTGCTTTTCACACCCTCTCTCAAACAGGACCCAGACTGCCCTCCAGCACCGGGTGGGGGCATTCATTCGCTGCCGGCCCAGAGGGCAGAACAGCCCCCATAACCACTGACCCGGCTTCCTGCTGGACCTAGTGTGTGTGCGTGGGTCTCCCCGCGACCAGGGGCAGCCCACATGCTGGCCCTGCGGGGCGCTCTCCTCCCCTACAGGCTGGTGAGCAGCGAGAGGACAAACCGCAGACGCGGGGAGAGACGTGGGGCTCAGCCCAGGCCCTGGGGTCCGGCCTCCCTTTCCAGAGAACAAAGGTGCCCGGATGGCACAAGGTGCTTCCCCACCCACGGCAGGGAGTATCCGGCAGCACGTTCTGGTAACAGGGCAGGAGGGGCTCTCCAGGGGTGGCTCCATGCCCGGCAGGAGCAGTGGCTGGTGGTGGCACAGTGGCTTTCGGGGCTCAGGCTGGGACCCCAGCAGGCTCCTGAAGCACAGAGCGGGTTTGCCAGGCATCCCCAGGGCTCTCAGCATGCACAGGGGCTGGAGGAGTCGGCCTCCTGCAGCGACACGGTGAGCCTGCTGCGCCCAGCGTCACTCTTGAGGACGAGCAGCTGCACCACGTCCTGCACGCACCTGTCCACGTTCTCTCCTGCAGGGGCGAGACCGGCAGCGGGTGGCAGCACCAGGAGTCCCCCGCGGGGGGAAGGAACAGGACCCGCTACTTCCGGAGTGTGTGTGTGTGATGGGAGGGCTCTGCGTGTGTTTGTAACGGGGGTTCAGTGCACAGGCACGTGTCTCTAGGGCTGTGCGTGAGAATGAAGGCTCTATACGTGAGTGTGTACACGAGGGCAGGGTGTGCACCGGGGCTGTGGGTGGGGAAAAGGGCCGTGTGTGTCTGAGGGCCATACATGGGCACCCGCACCCAAACTCACTCCCGGAGCCCGCACCCTTCACCTCCTCCGGTACCTCAACCCCCTGCCCCTGCCCTGAGCCCCCTCCCACACCCCAACCCCCTACCTCAGCCCGGAGCCCGCACCCTTCACCTCCTCCCATGCCCCA